GCTTAATTACAACATGTTTATATTCAAATAAATCAGTATCTTACAAGAATCCCAGCAATGTTAATTATATTCTCCTAGGTCATATCACTGGCATTTTAAAATGAGAGAAGCTTAGTAGGACTGTTAAATAAACACACAGAGACCTTCAGCCAAACTTATCGCCAAACTTATCACCTCAACTCCCCACTTCAATTCCTCGGGCTGGGTGTATGTATATATCCAAGTTAGTACCCAGCCCCCAGCCAGGCTTTTAGGCTTACAGTTTTTATTTTATATAATACCTCAGACTAAAGTTAGAGATTATAATTTGCATTGCTGGAACTTTGCAAGACAGTCACAATTGAATATAAAACATCATATGAGCTCTTTTGCTCAAGAGATAAAAATTGTTGTATTATTATAAAAGCCAGTACTGTAGTACATTTTATGCTTTTTCAACTGTATTTTTGCAGATTTACATCAATTCTTCTATTTATTTTCATCCATTTACATGCACACACCATACTAAAAGAAACATAATAGAAATAAATGACCTTAGTGCAAAGCTGGAGGCACATGTACTAATTTGATTACAGTACTAAAATACCGGTCTTAGTAAAATTATATAGCATGTTTATGGTTCAAATTAATCAGTATGTTACAAGAATCCCAGCAATGTTAATTATGCATTCACCCAGGTCATTTCACTGGCTTTTTATAAGAGAGAAGCTTAGTCACCTAAGAACTGATAAATATACACGCTTAGACCTGGGCCTGTGCCACTGTCAAAACATACTCACCTCCTCCCCCACGCCGCCGGCCTCCCACCCTCTCTCCCCCATCTGTTTGGCTGCTATGGAATCTTTTGTAAAACAGTGAATAATTTAATATAAACGCCATGTATTTTGCACAAGAGATAAAAATTAATCACCTGTATCACATTACAGTAGTGATTTAAGAGTAAAGTGTATATGTATCGCATATAGTATTCCACATACACGTAAGTATAAATAAAATTTTTATGCGATGCTCGATAACGCCCATTTTGTTAACGCCACGTTTCCAAGAACGATCTAGACGTTAACCGCACATGAGACTGTAGTTCCCTTTAAGCAATAAGGAAAAAAAGAACTAACTCATCTGGGGTCGGTTGCTTCAAGAGGAACAGAAATATTGCTTCTCTCCAAATTCAGATCAATAATCATCTGGTCATGGTGGACAAAGTTGGACAATCTAATCGTTCATCACTTGGGTTCTCCTCAAACAGACTTGGTCGCTTGTACGGATGCGCTCTAGATAGGATGAGGATACCATTCATCAAAAGGAGAGTTCCGCCAAGTGAAGTGAACAACTCCCCTTCAGGACCAACACATAAACATCAAAGAATTATCAATAGTCCTATTCTTTTGTTGACAAACCCAAACTTCAAAAACATGATGACTTGTTTGCCATGGACAACACAGTGGCAGTGTTTTTGCTCAATCATAGCTCAACCAGATCTTGACTCTTCACACTGTCAGAAAAATTTTTCAAGTTTTGTGTAAAATGACAACTATACCAAGGCAACTCGTCATACCAGAGCACAAACAATTGGGCAGATGCTGTCTCATCTCCGCCAGTGTTTCCACGGAAACAGAATGGTCCCCTGAAGCCATCAGAGTTCAAGAGTCTAGCGACGAGGTTTGGGACTCACAACAGACCTCTTTTGCCTCACAAAACAATCACAAGTTGCCAATTTATGCTTCTCTGAAAAATCGAATCTACTAGAAATGCCTCTACTCATAGATTGGAACCGTTGGAATTTAATCTATCTGTTCCCACCTGTAAAATGTTATCCAAAGTGGTTCACAAACTCAGATCCTTCCAAGGAAAGGTCCTCATAATTGCAACTTTACATTAGATCCTACAACCATGGTGTCTGGATCTGTCTGACTGGTGCCCGTGATCCATACTACAATTTCCTCTCAACAAGGATGTCTAGACCAGGTACTGCACCCCTCAGTTTGGAGATATCCTTGGCACTTCCACACTTGGAGTTTCTCAAAAGAAGTTTAAATAGAATGTTGGGTACCCAATATAGTTAACCAAGTAATAGCAGGTCATAGGCCCCAAACTTCTATGCAATATGAGAAAGCTTAGAGCCTTTTCCAAAATGTATTAAGTTAACGGCTCCAGACACATTGTCGAAACAGTGGTGTTGAACTTTTTGATTTTCTCCGCTCAGAGTTAAAGGCCTTCAATGCTCCTACAATTGCATCTTATAAATTAGCATTGGAAGGACCCTCTGGTGTAGGGTTTTAACATTACTTGAATCATAGAATTTATCAAATGCTCAGATCATCCTTTTTCATTCAGAGAACCCTCGCTCAAGAGAATCCCACCTGGTCACTAGATAAAGTTACAAACTTTCTATGGGCTTAACCCAATACAAATCTGAGCCAGGACAGATTGCTCCAGAAAGCAGCTTTCCTTCTAGCACAGCAACAGGTATGAGAATCAGTGAGTTGCTCACTTCCAATAATCCATCATTACCACGAGATTCTAAGAAAAATTGAAAGGAAGATTTTCAAGTTCAACCTTATCCGATCAAATGGCTGATGGATGAGACAAGGGTTCCTCATATACAGCTCCAGTTAAGAACCTTCAAGAGTAGTAAACCAGACCCCTAATTGAGGCCCCCTATGTATTCTTATCACAGGATGGTAAGAAATTGTCTCCTAGTCAAATGACAAAAATATTTATCTCAGTTAGTGAGTCAAGCAGACCCTGGCAAGAAATTTTGGGCAATATGACACCAAGAAATATGCAGGGTCTGTGGCCTTCTGCAGCATATGAGCCTCAGTCAGATCAAAGAAGCAGGCTTTTTGAAATCTTTTCAAACCTTCAAAACAACTATCTTCATCTATCTCTTTAAAGATGCTCCACATGCAGTGGTCCTGGGGTCCCCTCCTCCAACTCTCGTCCATCTCCAAAACCAGGACCTTCTTCTTCCTCATCAGAATAGAGTGAGAATCCTGACATGGAGTTTCCGACCACAGAATGGCGGACTAGAGGGTACAACCTGTACCGTACATTGTAATAAAATATACCGTACTGTATTATTGTAATAAAAATATACTGTACTGGTAATTATTGAAAATTACTGTACAGTATACAAATAATTATACAAAAAACTGTACAAGCACCTGGTATGTTACCCTGAAACTGGATTACCGTGACATCTCGCCTATAAGGCGCCGGGTGCATAAGACGCCCCCAAATTTCCATTTAAAAGCAGCTTTGAGCTCTATTCGCTGTATAAGACCAGTACCCAAATGTGACAGCCTTACCCACTGACTCAGTAGTAGTCCTCTACCAACCATCCTTGGTTTTAAAATAAGGCCAATTCACTCAAGTACGTCATCAAATGTTACCCGCTGGTGTAGTAAACCAATTATACAAAAATAATATACATTGAGGCATAATTTAATTTCACGACTAATGCATATTGTTATAGAATTTTTCCATTTACTTGAAATGGATTTACCGATTTATTTGTTTATTTATTTATTTATAATATACAGTTGTACCCAGCTTAACGCGGTCAATTGTACTCCACAGGGTACCGCTGTTATGAAAACCGTTATGAACAACAGAACATAAGTGGGATTAATTCCAATAGAGACCGCCCGATCCCCAAACTCCACTTTTTGACAACACACAACTATGTTGTAGTAAAAATATTATCTTAACTTTATGATGGCATGCACACACAATTAATAATTAAGAGAAATATCAATAATATTAGGTTTTTTAACACTTACATTAGTAGAAAAGATGGCTGGGCACACGGGGATGGGCGGTTGGTTCCGAGGCAGAGGGCAGATTATTGGCCCTCACCTGTATCACTTGTATCAATTGTATCACTATCCACCACAGAGGCTTGCAGGGCCTCTTTGTCAAACCCCTCAAAGTCCATATAAGTCCATATCCTCTCTATAATTATCACTATCACTGACTTGGGCCGGCTGTGGTGGGTGGCAGGTGAAGAACTCGGTAATGTTTTGACGACTGGGCGACCTTGTGCGCATCGTGCCTGCGCCGCTTCCCGCGTATATGAGTAGATGAACCGCATTAAGTGAAAGTTCGGTTCTGGCGAGGCACCGCGTATATGAGAAATCGCGTTAAGTGAAACCGCGTTAAGCGGGGTACAACTGTACTGTAATACATTAAACACACTGCAAGTATTTTCTTTAATTTATATACTTGTTTCGCAAAAAAGGGAGGCTACCATTATAACTGGTAGGTGATCATTAAGGACCAAACTCCGAGTCCATGACGTGACTTCTGTTAATCATTCTCATCCTAAATTTACCACTGTCGGTAGTTTCAAGAATTAACGCAGTCATTTACTGAATATTCTTTGTAAAAAAATAAATTTTAAATTAATTATTTATAGGAGATAAGTATTATGATCAGTAAATATACAGATATGCATTACTGACCACCTCCGAACACAAGGACGGCTAAAAATAGCCACAGGCGGTCACAGTCAAGGTCACTTTCCCTTTCTTGTCACTGGCAAATGAGGGGTGTTGGGTGATGATAGCAGCTGTGTTTATTACCGGGGTATATTGTTCTTTTACGGTATGTTAGACTGGTTTATAATACATTTTTATTATTTTAATATACCGGTAATCTTCATTTTAATCCAGCTTCCCAAACGTAAGTTTCAGTATAAAATAATTAATGGTAGGACTTTGTGAGTGGTTTACCATGTTTCCATCACCACTCTTGACACGCTAAACCGCAATATTTAAGAGGTAAGAATTTTATACTTGGTGATTAAGACGACCCCCTAACTTTGGGCAGATTTTTTTAATGTTCAAATTCCGTCTTATAAGCCGAGATATACGGTATGGTAAAAATGTAAAGGAAAATATGGAATAGCAGAATGCATCACATATTGATGAATGCTATTGTTTTCTTAATATTTATCTTCATTCAAGAGTTTGCTAATAATAAAATACTGAGCAGCTTACCTAGACTGAGCTCGAAGAGCTGGATCTAATGAGGGAACTGTGATGGTGATGCAGACCTGTACTGTGTCACCTGCAAGGTGCACTGGCCCACCTAACACTTGAGCTCGCACTTCCACCATTTTCTGTAATAAAATATTATAACAGTCTTTTTAGATCAAGAAAAATATATCAAGGGCCTGATAAATTAATTCTATGTTGTGTTTATAACATACAGTATTGTGATGCTGTTAAAATTGAACAGAGCAAGAAAAATGCTTGTCAAAATTAAATACTGTAATGTATTGCACTGGCATGGTTCAGGTCCTTTAGTATACGTACCTGCAGGAAAAGGTCAGTTTATACACATCAATGAAGGGACGAGGAGGAAGAGGGTACACTTTCCCATAGGGACCAAACGATTGCCTGGAAATTGCATCAAAGAAAATACAAAAATACAGGTAATGATAAAGTGTCCATATAACTTGTGTTTTGTCTGTTAATGATTGGGTCAGACAACATACCAACCACAACTAACTGAAAAATAATCTAAGATTGTTAAAATAGGTCTTGGTGGTTCATTTTATCTGTTATTAGATGTGACATAGCTTGGTAACTTGATCATAAACATAAGAGACTCGATGCTTTGCAAGGACATGCAAATACTGTATGATCTTTGCAAATTCATATTTTTCCATTCACCCAGACAAAATTATTATTTTATACCTGTAGTACATGAAAATGAACATATTAGTAGATCCCTTCAAAATATTACAGGTTTTAAGGTGGTGCCCAGCAAACATGGGGCTGAAGCTGGCTTTTGCTTCTGGAAGCCATTTTTGAGGGGCTTGGCTTTGAACCCACAGGCCTGGCTTTGAATTTTCTTCTTTACACAGACACACACACACTGACCATATCGTGATGTCACAGCAGACCTGATCTCTTACAGTTCTGTTCCCAGAATGACCTAACCTTAGAGAGCCCAGGTGCATGCTGATCCCTCCTATTGGCCTATTCTCATAATGACCTCATCTGAACCTCTGACAAGTACCACCTCTGCCTCTCTGTCTTCTCAGCCCCAGGTACTGCTGGCTAACCGTCAGCAAGACCTATAGAATATAAGGTCTGCTCACGCATTTAAGAAAATGGAACCTCCCGAAATTCATACTGTTACTTGTGTCAACCCCTCTCTGGCCAAGATCACATAATATGCAAAGAATAAATTTTAACCTCTACAGTTGACCTCTAGGGGTAAAAAAAAATACAATGGACCTCACACCTGACTCCTAGTCAAGATACTTTACCAGATGCATAACCTGTCATCCCAATAACCTCACCTCACCATTTCAGCTTGATGTTCCTCATTTATACAAAAGATTTAGTGCTGGTGTTTTTTGGGCTATTTTCATGTACAGTACTAGCAAACCAAGTCATTGAGATTGAATGAAATATTAACTTAGAAAAGAGAATTCTGACAATTTGCCTTCCACTTACAGAAATAAACTATCTTGACTTTGAAGGTAAATCTAAGAAGATTGCAGATGGTCAGATAAATACTCTAGGCAAAATAATATATTTACACAATAACCCTTAAATAAACAAATTTGCTTTATATATCAGCATCCATCTGGGATGCTTGATGGCAAATTTTGTCAACGGTAATGTTAATGTCTAATTCCTTCTTCGGTGAATCTGCTTCAGATCCAGCACCTGTGATCACCAAGCCTACCGGGTACCCCCCCCCCATATATTCTGGTGTAAGTGGCGGTGTAATGACCACGGTCGTAGACATTACAGTAGTTAACATAAAATTAGACAATTCATATTACTCTCAATAGCCCACAAAACATGCCTCCTTTATTGAGTCCCCCATCTAAGGTGTCCGTTTTCTTATTGCTTCAGGATGCCTGAACCCTCTGTTTTCTCTCCATTTCATGTATCTCACCAGACATGGGGTTCTACTCAGCAGAATTCCCCAGGGGAATTCAGGTTTTCAGGGGGTGGGGGAACTGATTCGGGAGCAAGAGATATGTTCGATGAGAAATCAATCACAGAATTTTTTGCCCTTGATGTTCGATTCCTACCCAAAAGTGGCAGAAAGAGCTATCCGTGCATTGCTTCCGTTTGTGTCGACATATCTTTGTGAGTCAGGCTTTTAAACTCTGTTGCAAATTAAAACGAAGCAACGTAGTAGATTAGAGGCAGAAAATGACCTGCGTTGTGCCCTTTAAAGCACTCCTCCGCGTATCCCAGAATTGGCGAAGAAAAAAACAATCACAGGTTTCTCATTGACTGTAATCTTCATCTGAATAAAATTAATTACAAATTTACAATATCCTGGTATTCTATTGAACTTTTTGTTTATTGCATTATGCTTCAGTTTGGTCTGTTAAGTAATTCATTATAAATAAAAAAACTATTTTACTTTTATTCAAGTTTTATAAATCCATCAACATTTTCAATTGGCATTTAATTTGTAAAACTCCACTATAAAAATAATCCATATAAAATTGTAAATGTATATGTACTAATATGGAAAAAATAAAGGATTTTCAGTATTATATGCATATTATTTGGAATGCACTTTTTGAGGCAGACAATCTTGGAAAGGAGGAGGGAATGACATTCTGACATATGGTGAAAGGGATGCATGGGGCAAACAAGTTTAGAGCACTGTCACCAGACTATGTTTATTTCCTACTAAGCGCTGCCATGTTTGTAGATTTAAAATTGAGAAGAGAACCCAATGATTTTTACACTGTATTAGACATGTCTGTTAGATAGAAACATTAAAGATCCCTTGTGAGTAGCGTTGAGCTTCAAACTATTTGATTAAAAACTGTCAAATAAGTGAGTGTTGGTCTGCCAGTAAGAATGGCATATCCTAATATAAGCCCTTGGGGATAGCCATGAGTTTCAAGTACAGTAAAACCTCGATTGACCGACCCTCGATTAACCGACTTTCGGATTAACCGCCGATCCCGTACCCCTAAATATTTTTTTTTTTTTACGGGGATTAGCCCAACCGGGCACAGGTCACTGACCCACATTGGGGCCTGGGGGGCGAAAATGTAATAATAATGATAATGATGATGATGATGATGATGATGGTGATCGATGATGATGATGTTGATGATGATGATGATGATGGCCCGGCGGCGGCGGCGGCAGCGGCGACAATAATAATAATAATAATAATAATAATATGTAATAATAATAATAATGACAATATATAATAATAAGAACCATAAAGAAATGCAAAAATTAAAAAAAATCAAGAGTGAGAAACAATATACCTGTATGTATGTTGTGTTGTCAATAGTAAGAGAAATAATTGAGACCCTGCAATTGTGTGTAAATGAGGCAGAAAGTCAGATCAGCAACCTGGGACTTGGTCACAATTTTCGTGATGCCATATGTTCTTTGACTTTTCCATTTTTTATTTACGGTTTCTGTGCTGGTTCATATTTATTTACTAAAGTGGTTAATGTTTTAAAGCAAATTCTATTGAAATATGAATGGCAAATGAACAAAAATGAATAGAGACTTAAAAGAGGTAGGTTAGGGATAGTTACTTTGAAAATGTATGTTTTATTTCCGTAGACTTTATTTACTATTAACCGACCTTTTGGATTATCCGTCAGCCCCTTCCCCCCATATGTGGGCGATTAATCAAGGTTTTATACTACTGAGATTAGATCTCTGTGATGCTCAAGCAACAGAGAATCTGATGTTTGTGGTTTAATGATTGTCAGTTATCTAGTTTTAAAAGCCATTAATCTCCTGAAAAGAACATGTTAACCTCCTTATCTCCAAGATCTAAACGTACAGTATACCCATAGAGGGTCCTTGTCTGACATTATGCTGATGTTGTGAGAATGACATTAACAGCGTGTGTATTCGATGTCCAGTTCACTTTTCCTGACAAGCTCAACCTCTGATTAGATTGTAACAATAGATGTAAGAAATTCACCTGACCCATGACACTGAGTTTCATAGTCAAAGGTTCAGCGACTGATTTATATGGTAAATTCTGTCATTTGCAAGACTAGCCCTTCTGGCATGTCTGGCGCAGGCCTGGAGAGCAATACGCAACTGAACGAAGCACAACAA